CTTAACGTAATAGGCATTACAAAATTTACCAAATAGTAGTATGCATTACAAATCTTACCGAACAATAGTATCCACAGACGCAGCATTTTTCTTCTCTAAACTTAGTAATGACTCTTGAGCATTTCTCCATTGTTGTGAACCTACTTCTGCCTTGTTGAGGCTGTGGTTGTTTGTTCAGCAGGATTTAGTAAACCGAAGTGACATTTACAGGGGACAAAATACAATGTCCTAGAATATACATACCAGATTTGAAGAACCTCTGCAAGGTTTTGCTTTCCAGATTCCACAGCAGATGTATCCGCGTGATAGTTGGATTCCGTTGTTTCCATGTGAACCATCCATTCTGCCTTGACAGAAGAAGTGGAATCCTGCATGGTTAATGCTTCTTGCTGCAATTTACTGGTTCTACAGTTTGCACTTTCTCGAAGATCATTAACGGCCATTTGAACCTAACAAAAGTACGAAAGACATTAGTTTTATTCAAATGCAGTGTGGCCAAACTTGTCATGTTTTATACAGAACTTACCAGTTTTTTCTTTCTAGCATTTGAACTTGCTAGCATTTCTGCTACTTTCTCCAGCAGTTGCTTTTCTTCATAAGCAGTGCACTCCTACAACGATTAAAGAATGAGAAACATTAAAGTTAAAAGAAGAAAACAAGTAAAAACATTTTTAAATATGATTTGTCTATCAGAAATGACATCGTCGTCACCTCAAACTTCTTTTCAAGCTCGCTCAATTTCTGATCATTAACAAATTGTGTTTCTTCAACAATTTGGGTCAAACTTGATGCATGCCTGTCTATTGTCTCAAAAAAGTTCATTGTTACTTTAGATACTGCGCGTGTAGTCTCGACTGCTCTGGCATGTGCCTGCATGCAAACGCAAAGATCAGAAACTCTATCTCATAAGTTCATCAATCAGCCAAAAATATATCACAGATGTTCGTTCAACCAACAAAAAATACAGACCTCTCGCTGTTGATGAGCATAAGATGTTAAATTGGCCTCTTGCTTGTGGAGACTATTTTGAAGATCATTCAGTAATGAATCAGCTTCTAAGGCGATTCCTTTAAAAAGCTGAAGCACATAATTTGAGATAAACAAGACAGAAAAGTTCAATTGAAATTGACTTTTAAGGATAACAGACCACTTACATCCTCCAAGGCAGATGAATGCTTAGCTACTTCAGATCTCAAGTCTTCATAAGTTAATTGGTTATTTCCTTTAAGTTCCTCAGCTAGATTATCCAAAGCTTTAATTCCAGAACCATACATGTTTTTCAACTCTCCCACCCTTACTTTAAGATCTTCAGTAGACTTCAGAAGCATAAATCAAATCAAAGTCAGCAAATCTGAAAATTGAAGTTTAAATAAATGGCAATTATAACTGTGTCATCCGGAATATCCACCTCTGATTTTGTTGATACAAAAGACTGCATATCTTCTTCCATATCCTTCAGTTGCCGCTCCTGATGCATTACAGATGCTGAAACTGTCTTATGCAAAGCTTCAAGTTGCTGAGCTAACTGGGACTGGAATTGCTGGATAAGCACCCTGTTTCCTTCTTCAATTTTATCCTTCCGCTCTAAGGATGAAAAAGGCAATTTATAACTGATGTAGTAGGCAGGAAGTTCTCCAATTGGGGAATGGGGACCCCATAAAAAAATCACTAGAGTTATACTAACCAATTTTGGAAAACAGGTTTGACACATCCGATGCAGCATTCTCGAGTTCTGCTCGTAGTTCAATTGCACGTTCTACCAGTTCTTTCTCTATAAAAGGCATGACAAATGGTAAATAGTAAATAAAATGAAGTATAAGGTATTGCCTGAGCAGTAACCTAAAGCTGAAGTATAACTATTCCGACAGGAGACAAATGATATTCAACCAATCCGAGAAAGGGAATAACAAATGACTAACCAGATTTTAGAAGATTTGATATCAAGAACTCCTTTTCCTTAATTGTTGCATTTGCCTGTTTATGCCTTTCCTCAAGATCAAATAATGTCTGTTCAGTTTCTTCTAGACTTCTCTGAGAATACAGATACAAGAATTTAAGTTTTATTCTAGACCAGATTAGAAGTCCAGACAAAAGAATGAAGTGACTTTGCACGGCAATTCTTACCTCAGTTTTTTCAAGTTTCCCGCTTAATTCAGCAGTCAAAAGTTGCTGAGAATTGTAGAGATCTTGAAGTTCCACCAGGTTCTGCACGCATATCATGGCATATTCTTGTTTCAATAGTTAAACAATCATAATCGATACCCATAATAATTAAGAACGGAATATACCTTATCCTTTGAGTCTGCATCTAGTTCCATTCGTTCCATCTTTTCAGTCATGGCCTAGATTAACATTGTAAAAATTTAGGATTAGCAATGATTCCAAAATCATAACAGTAATTAAACTTCATATAAAGCATTTAAAACACTTTGAAGGAAACCTTCTTCTCGGCTTCTTCATGAAGGTAACGATCGCGCGGAATATAGATTCCATTTTTCTCTCTTGCAGCATACACCTCTACATAAATGAAAATAACAGATTTCAGCACAGAACGGTAAAAGGAGGGAGGGAAGCAAGTTGGCCAACATACAGTTTTTTTCTATTTAGAGAAAAAAAAAACAGAAGGAAAAAACATAGTGAGTTATAGAACTTGATTAGTAAGGGAACAGTTAGCAACCTTGCTTAAGTCTGTCAATTTCAGAATACAAATCTTTAATCATTGCAGATTTCATCATTTTCTGATTAATCTGAAAAAACAAGCTTGATATTAGACATGCTTTGCTGATGGATAAAAAGAGTGAAAGATTGACCAAAGGGGAGCAAACGTGAAAGTGACCTCTGGTTTGTTCTTGATATTTTTAGCTCGGTGTGCATAATCCAAGGTACTGAGTGTTTCTTCAAGACAGTGAATGGAAGGTGATACAGTGGCAATAATGCATGTCTTGGTCTTACCTCCCAAAGAATCCCTCAACAGCCTGGTTAACTTGCTATCCCTGGTAGAATAAGACGTATCTTTAATATAAAAATCATTCTCCAAATTTAAAAACAACAGAAAAACGTCAATGAGAATTAACTAGATAAGTTGCAACAGCTTATACCTATATGGAACATGACCTGAGTGCTCAACCAGAGCATTGATCACTCGACCAAGTGTAAGCAAGCTTTTATTTATCTCCCCAGCCTCTCTTGCTCGACCCTGCAAGTATTTTTTTTAGCGAAACTCTAAAGCTATGGAGACATTCTCTTTTAAGACTGATATTCAGATAATGCCAGCCGAAAAGAGAAATTAATGTACAGCTTAAGGGGTAATTCAATTTTTGATGCGTGTATATTTTACACACTAAATAAGTAATCTGCCATAACATACGCGATCAATCAGGTTTTTTATATTATTCCAAATAATATCTTTGAAAAGCATGCGTTAACTCAAATTTAGCTAATCATCTGTACCTCTCTTGCACCAGAACGTGAAATGTTCTCAGAGCCTGCGAGGTCCACAAGATTTAACTTCCCACATTTAATCATTTCTTCACCTTCCGGAGTACATTCCTTAATATGAATTGTAATAGAAAATATGGAGTGAGAACGGCTGCTTTGCTTGTTCAGAAGAGTCTCGGCAGTACGCCTTTTTGCAGAACCTTTTTCCAATATCTTGTAAATTTCATTTGCAGTGCAAACGATCTCTTCTTCTAATCCTCTGACAAGAACACCCCCTTTCCCATCTTCCATTAAAGCAATGGGTTTCTTAGACTTGTCATCTACAAATTTTGTAGTCTCCTCAGGGGCCAAAAGATCACTTATTTCCTCATTGTAAAGCTCCAAAAATGTTACTTTCATGCTGTATTCAGCACTCTGAGCTTCTAATATATCAAAAATCTGCTTCACAGATCTTGGGATGACACCAGCATCACTTGGAAACTCACCATTCTACGAAATCAAGTACATACAAATGCATTTTAATTTTTTGGCAGAGAGCCAAGAGAAAATATCATGAAATTTAAAATATAATCACAGAAAGAGAAGCAGGTGTTGCATGAATTACCTTCTTTATTGCACCTCCTTCCATTGTGTATGTCTTCCCTGTTCCCGTCTGACCATATGCAAAAATTGTACAGTTATAGCCTTCTAGCACTTCATACACAATAGGAGACACTGCCTGATCATACAGTTCTTTCTGTTGAGAGGTAGGGCCAAACACCTAGACCAATAAAAACCAAATACATGAGAGAGTTGCTACAACATATACCATGACATAATAATTAATGAACTTCATACTCAAAATTCAATGTTGAATGCCTCTATCTTATCTGGAAACCTGAATGCAGAATTAGTAAAATTCTCTTTCTTAAATATCCTTTTCACAAGCTAAAAAAGGTCTCAATAAGAAACATATTTTTCCATTTGCAGAATGCATCTAGCAATATGAAAACAAGATCAAATAAACTATCTACTCTCATTTTTCCTTTTGCAGAATGCAGATATCAATTTGAAAACAAGATCAAATAAACTATCTTAACATTTTAAATGTGCAATTCAATTCATCAAGTCAAAACGTATAAAAACCTTGTCAAATGCAAAGGTTCTATCAATCTGCTTATTAGCTATACTTTGTACAGCCGCAACTTCTCTTCTCCCCTCATTACACGAAATCACAACTGGTGTATGAAGCCGAATTTCATCTTCATTCAACGGCCTACAAAGCAAAACCGATCACCTAGTTCAAGACCAGTAACAAAAAAAAAAAAAAAAAAAAACTCAATCATCAACTCAGTACCGAGTCAGAACGAGTCAAACTCACCTGCACCGAACCAGAACCTGAACATTGACTCCTTTCTCTTTATCATACTTATTATAACTACTCGAATTCGAATCCGCAGATCGCAGATCTCGCGACGGCTTATCAGTAGAACGCGGCGTCTGCGACGGCGATAACGGCACCAATCCACCACCTCTTTTCTGTTGAACCTCCATTACACTTCCAACTTCCAATCTCAACCAAATCAAATCCTAATCGGTGAAAACGAAAACGAAAATGAAACCTTAACAAATTAAACTAAACTCAGTGAAAATTTCCGATAACAATAATCAAAACAACAACAACAATAACGATAACGATTTTGCTCTACGATCTGCGATTACAGAGTGAATTTGAAGATTGAAACATTTCACGGATCGAAAAAGGAAAAAGGTTAGAGAGAACAATGTGGAATTGAAGATGGAAAATCGAAAATCGAAAATCGAAATCGGAACTTACTGTGATAGTGCCGGCTTTTCAATTAATCGATTCTAGAGTGTTCTATAGTGTTCTATTTCAAAACAGAATTTCACGTGAGAAAGAAAGCTTCAAGTCAAAGACTTAAAATCACTATAAATTGCACTTCACTGCAAAAGCACTAGAGAAGCACTTTAACAAATTAACTTCTTTTTTTTTTTTTAATTTGTTGTGTTTTTAAATTGTTACTAAAGGGAAAGCTTGTGTGTGGTGAAGAAAGAGCGACTCTTTTAGGAGCTGAAAAAAGAAAAAAAATGATTTGTGTTGATGGAAATGATTTTAAAAAGGGTTAAAAATTGAATTTAAAGTCAGTTACAGTTCCGTTACGGGCGTTTGAAAATTAAAGTGACGGTAATTGACTGTGATTGGGAGGTTAACGGCGTGAATATAGGCCGTTTTTCGGATCATCCGACCGTTATAAAGAAGACAAGGTGCGTCAGTATGAAATCAAACCTATTTTTTTACGAAGAAATGTTTTGAAATTGAAAACAATAAGAGTTAGTACGGTACTCTGGCTTTCTCTTGCTTCAACTTCAATAATTTGAAATTGTTGTTGCATTGGGTAATGAGAATTTTTACTTTTATTTATTTATTATTTACGATAAAGAAAAATAATAATAAGGATTAATAAAAAGAAAAAATTTAGTTAATCCAAGTCACTTGAGTTCAACTTGATTTATTAAAAATCCATTTAGATTAAATTTCGGTTCGAATTTGATACGAATTTTTTTTAAATTTAAATTTGACTCGTTATAAATTTATGAATAATTTAATTTGGTTCGTTAAATTCATTTTGTTAAGTTCAATTCATTTGTTATATAGACTTAAAAATCATTTTTTAAAATATATTTATTATATATTTAATATTTTAAATTAATATTATTTTAAAAAAATATTAAAATAAAATAAAATTTATCAAATTGAAATTTAACTGTCTAAAAAATTTACTATTTCAAAAATTACATAATTTATATGATTTATATGATGTTGATTTTATTTATACAATTATGTCTAAAAATATTTTACTCATTTGAGAATAGAAATGTCAATGGGGGGCGGAGCAGGGGTGAGAACACATTTTCATCTCAATCTCTACCATGGAATCTATTTATTATTTGCGTCTCATGTCCCCGTTATGGGGAAATTTTGTCATACATTATCTTTTTTTGCGGATTTTCGCAGATTCTCACGGATCCCCAAAGTTCATACGGAGATCCATAAATATAATTTTCTTTATTTATTATTTTAAATCAAATTAATAGTAAAAATATCAAAAACTAACCACAATAAAATTTAAAAATTATTTCTTTATGATAAATATATTGTTTTGACAATACTTAATCTATAATATTGAGTATCATAACTACTAAAATTTCAAACTTAAAAATTTTAAAATAATCATTTATATCTCACTTTTTTACTAACAATACATTTATATTTTAAATTTGTGTTTATAAGATAAATTATATGAAATTACAAATAAAATTATATAAAAATTTAAAAGTATATATAAATTATGTTTATTATGGTATTCTAGGCGGGATATGAGATATTTACGTCACCCCGTCCCCGAAGTACTTTCAGAGAGACTTTGTTCTCCATCCTCGTCTTTGTGGAGAAAAAACTCCCCGTCTTTGGGACATCAAATGGATAATCTCTAAGGAAATCCCCGATAATAGAACAAGTTGACATTCTTATTTGAGAATATAAAATTTCAATTAAAATCGTTAGATTAAAATAAAATTTAGAGTAAATCTTTAAACCAACTCTTAAGAATAACATAATTCTTCTCATATATAATCGAGTTGACTCATGAATTTAATGAGTCAAACTATATATGGTTTAAGATCAATTCATTTAGTTAACAAATATAATTTTTCGCTTATATAATCGAATTGACTCATAAACCTAACGAGTCGAACTATGTATAATTCAAAATCAATTTATTTAATTAATGAATATAATTTTTTACTAATATTCAACTCATTAGTTTCATGAATCTAATTCAACGGTTTAATTGTCGAATCAAATTATAAACTATTTTCAAATTAATTTGATTCATTATTAGCTCTAATAACTATATAAAAACATCAATAATAAAGACGTGATTCAAATATGAAATATTCAACTTGTTTACTTTAAAACGGGAATTTTAGCCATTTGAACTACTTGACATAAAAACATTAGAATGATTAGAATAAAAACAAAATCTCAATGTGATGTTTTATGTCACTGATTAGGAAAGTTGGCCTTTAATATCACGCTAAGGTCCCACCGCAAAGCTTGCTTCATGAATTATAGGTTATTTCTTACCTCATCCCAACTAGGAAAATTAAATCCTATTTAATTCTTATAATGTCTTTTTAAAATTGAAAGTATACTTTTGGTGCATACCCAACCCTTCCGACATGATTTATGTATAGTATGGTGTGAATCAGAAATATATTTTTGATTTGCATACAACTCTTCCAATATAATTCATATATAGCATGGTACGAACCAAAAATATATTTCCGATTTACCCCTAACCCTTCCAATATAATTCATTTATAGTATAGTGCAAATCAGAAGTATACTTTCAATTTTGAAGAACACTTATGAAATTCACGTGATGCGTAAGAAGGTCATGAGGTGTGTTAAAAAATTCAAGAATTATATTGCTTTCATTTTTCGGTGAGTTTCATATTCAACTACAATTCACCAAAAATTTTATAAATGATATTGTCTCTATTCTACAATGAGTGATTCATTTGGAATAAAATAGTATTCTAAAATAAATTAATTTCAATTTTCAATACACTTTTTCCAATTCTACCTTCTAACTATTAAAAATTTCATCATTCCCAATACATAATAAGGGCACTATAGTAAAAACGTTATTCTTTCTTATTTTTATACATTTTTCTTAATCTATATGAAATGGTTTACTGAACCACTCATTATGAAACAGAAGAAATATATTTATGAAAATGTCAACAATATTTTAATATACGGAATTTAAGAAAATAATTTTCAACTCTAACACCATCTTCAATAGTTATTATTTGAAGAGTTAATTTTGAATTTTATGCCATATCATTAAAAAAAACAACTCTTACATTATTATATTTGACTCAAATGTTACAAAATTATGCAACTTATATCATTATATTCTCAAATGTTTTTTCTTATCTCTTTTTTATGCATCAATAGGTGTGGTTGATAAAATAATAATAATATATTTTATTCTAGGTTAAATAGTTTTTATAATTCAAAGGTCAATTTTTTTGTCCAAAGGAACCACCTCCTTGCAATAGCTGGTTTAAGAGATAAACTTTCTATTCTTTAGAAGGATTTTGGTAAATGAGGTGTTATATCTTTAGGTAAAGGTTTATTTGAAGGGTGGTGCTAACATGTGCTTTTAAAGTATATGTTAAGGAACTTATAATTAAAAAGTTTGTCTTGAAAAAATAATTAAAAAATAATTGTATATTTATAATAAATTCAACATACAATTTCAAGATAGAGATTTCTTTATTTAGTTCTTAATATATGCCCTAAGAACACATGTTACTATTATCCCTTTTTGAATTCACCTTTTCCTCTCTAGAAGATGTCAGGCGTGTAAAAGCATCTGATTCCTGTAACTTATCTCTTGGTTTGCTTAAACTTTTTGCTTGGACTAAAGATTTTAATCCTGCCCTCCAACAGAATTCTTCAGCTCAAGTTTGGGTAAGGTTTTATTATCTTTCTTAAAAGTACTGAAGACCAAAAATTCTTTTTGCTATTAGTAGTAGTGTGGGCACACCCATCTTTTCTGATGTTACATCTACAAAGTCAATGATGGATCATTCTTTTGGACATTATGTCAGAGTTCTTATTAATATGGATGTTAATACAAAACTTAGATACAAAGTCCTTATTGAGATATAAGGTTTTGCGTTTTTTGTGATGTGGAGTATGAAAATCTTCCTTTTTTTTGTTCACATTGCAGAAAAATATGTCACTCATTGAATACTTGTAGGTTTGTAGAAATCCATACCAAATTGGATAAACCACATGCTAAACCTATTAAAAGACTTTATATTCCCAAAGAAAAATATTTGCATATACTTGAGATTTCTAAAATTCCCTTGGAGACAATTGGGCACACTTCTTCCAAAGGAAATGATATTGATATTTCAGAACCTATTAATAACATAAATCACTTGGAGCTTGGAACTAGTGGTATTAACAAGGTTTCTTTGGTTGAAAACTTAGATCATCTTTAACCTGATAACACGGGTAACCTGGATATAATGGTGCCTCTAAGGATGCTTTGGTTAGTCTTTAGAAACCCATGGTAGAAGTTGTTGATACCTTTTATGAATAACAAATGGCATAATATGGTCTTAATAGGCATAATCTAGCTCCCAACCTTTGGTGACTTTGTTCAAAAGATCTTAATCCTATTGTGGTTTTTAGTTCAAATCAGCTTGTGGCCTGCATTGTAGAGATTGGGAATAAGAATTTTGATATTGCTTCTGTTTATCCTTTAACTTCCTATATTGATATAATAGAGATATGTCATGATCTCTCCAAGCCTATTATTGATCATCCTATTCCTTGGAACTTTATTAGGGATTTTAACTGCATCTTTAGGGCTCATGAGCGTAAGGGGTCTCTTTCTCCTAATAGAAGTCCCATACAAGATTTCAATGTTGGTTAGACTCAAATAATCTCATAAATATCCCAACAAAATATGTTACTTTCACTTGGGAAAATGGTAGACAAGGACCAAGATTGGTTAAGAGGAGGCTTGATAAAGTCTTTTAAACTCAGGAGTGGCAGCTTGATTGTGATTCCTACTTAGTTTCCACTCGGACCAAGTTAAGATCAAATTACTTTCCTATTCTCTTTGAAATTATAACATCTAATGTTTTTAGAGGTTCTTCTTTCAAAATTTTAAAGATGTGGACATTGCATGATACCTGTAAAGACTTGACGATTCTCCAAGTTCAAGCTTTCAAGCGAAGATTGATATTGACAACACGTGGGAAGATATTATCAAGAATTTATGGGGGAGTTTGAAGTGGTTGATTCAATGTGGGTTGTAAACATTGAATCATGAATGACATATAGACATACTAGTGGAAGCCCTATGATTAGAAGTGGGGTGAAACATAACGCTTCCTTAGTGGTCAGAACCGTTATCGATGGTTATTTGTAAATAGAATAAATAGTAGACTCATACATTGTAACATGGGTTGCAAAATTTCATACATTCTCTCCATAAAACTGGAGTACCCGAGTCAAAGAGCAAAATAATTTACGAGAAACATGTATGTGTCAGCGTCCAATATTTTTCGTTGTTTTCTTGTTTCCTTACATTAAACATTTACTATTTTCGTCTTAGGTTATCACCTTTTGTTTAATATTATTTATTGCACTTTATCTTTTTGTCATTTATCAAAGCTCGTCTTCATTTAAACTTTGTCTTTACGTGGTCTCCGTACGAACATATACATTCAATTTACCCACACGTGTTTTGATATAAATCATTTGCATTAATTGCTTTGGAGATTTTTTGACTTAATATCACTAGATTTTCAAACTCGTGATCGTTTACCAAAAACACCGGTGAACAAATTAGCACGCCCAATGGGACCCTTTTGTGCGAATATTTCTAAAACATTTTTGCAGAGAAAAGGTGTCTTATGTTATTTTCTTTGAACAATTTTATCCATACATAAAAATATTATGAGTTTTGAGTGTTTATGTTTTTGAGGAGTGGTAGACAAATTCATGAAATGTCTCGTAGAAATCAACCTCTTCCCCATAATAATGCTCAAAACCATAGAAAACAACCAGTTGCGACGAGTGGCAGCGGTTCTGGGATTCCAACCTCCGTCGAGGAAAGCTCTGTTATCATATGCTAAATAGTAACATCGATTATAGCACAAGATATGGAAACCTCATTTCCACAAGCATCAAACGTACCACTATTTTCTAGGGAAATACAGAAACTAGGGGACCAAAGGACTTCTTAAATTTTACGCTACCTAAAAAAGAGAAACCTTATGGAATTTTAACTGCAATAATGGAAAGCATACACCCTAGTACGTCAATATACTCATAAAATGTGATGGCGACTTTATCTCCTTTTAATCCATATTTGGCCCCAGGGTCCACTATGAGTAACTTTGGCCGAATAGGAAAACCACCAGGAGGTATGGGATATTTCCCTTCAGACATGTCATCTTTCACCAATAACTCTTTTCAGGTTATGAGAAAACAAATGGACGAGAGTAACCATGATATGGTCAACATGTTCACGCAATAGATATACATTATGTTTAACCCACTAATAGAAAACACAAACCAAAGTTATCAACATTTGGCCTACCAAATGGGTAGAATTGATGTTTTCTGCAAGCATCCAACGCTAGCGACTCCAGCGACTTACAATCCCCCAGGGGTTAACCTTATAAAAATTTGGGTTGTCAAGAATAACCAAGAGCCAAATAACCTTGATATGGTACTAGTTCAACAAAACCAAGATGTCGATCAGGTTCTTAGACAGGCCCAATAAGATAATCTTGGAGGGGGATAATATCACCAATATAGTCGAACGAATTTTGGCCTAGAATGGCCTTAATGTCGGCCTTCACAAGCCAAATTTTGTGTACCCATTGTCTGAATATGTGAGGAAGACCGATTTTCCCAGGGGATGGAAATTCCCTAAATTTACCAAGTTTGCTGGTGATACCAATGAATTTATCATCGAACATATAGTTAGGTATCATACTGAGGCTGGTGATTTAGCCAACAATGAGAATATGAAAATAGAATATTTTTTGAACTCGTTGACAAAGAATGCCTTCACATGGTTTACCACTCTTCCCTCGAATTCCATCTTCAATGGGAATCAATTAGAGAAGGTATTCCATGAGAAGTTTTATATGGGACTGTGATACGGTGGGAGAACTGACTTGGGTGTTTTGCGTTTGATCACAAGTGTTGCAGTTAGCAAGAGTCGTCACCAACTTTTCTTTTATCCAAAAGGAAAGGTGAAAAAGCACAAGAGAGACCTTTGAGATTGTTTCTTTAGTTCGGGGGGTAGATTATGAAAAGGGAAGGTATTAGCACCCTTCTCATCCATAGTTTTCCATGGGCTCTTAGTTACTTGCTAGATCACTTGCTTTTTTTGTTTGAAATTGTGCTTTGTGTGGTTTTTTTTTAAAGTATTTTGTAAAGAGGCCATTGTTTAGGCAATCTTTGTAATGATTCTCGTTCGTAAGAATGTATACAAAGATTTTGGTCTTTTGAAAATGTTTTCAAGTTTGTAAGATGTTTTGAAATGTGTAGGTGTTGTTTTGAAAATAGCAAGGAGGTTTGTCTTGAAATGGAGAAAGTAATTAGGAGAATTCTACCTACTCAAAAGTCTTTCTTGTACATTTCCTTTTCCTTTGACATTTTTATCTTACCATTGATTTGGTAAGTAACCCTATCTTTAGATGTAAACGGGACGGGCGTGGGTTATCGTATAACCACAATTTGCAATGTTACAAGGCATATTAGCATTCTATTTTAGGGACTAAGATCATTTGTAAGGCAACTTAGATAGCATCATCGAGGGACTATGATCTTGTATTTGTTTATTTTTGCTAAGATACCTCACATGCATAATATGGCCATTTTGTAAGGCAACCAAGTGGATTTTATCCTATGGGTGCTTGTGTGCAAGTGTATTATTTTCATGCTTGTTTTTGTCTTGAATTAGGGTTTTCTATTTGATTGATTTTATTCTTTCAATACAAACCCTAATTACTAGCACGTGAATAGGAAGCATTTAAATTGCGGAAGATAAAAATACTAAGCTATTACATGATTTGTGGGAAGGGGGTGTACAAAGTATAAATGGGGATTGCAAGAAATTAAACCCTAATTAATCTATTACAACCATATTGAATTGAATAAATAAATGTACAAAATATGAAAAGGAATAATGTATAAAGTAATGAATAAAAAATAATGGATTTTATTTGGTTTTGTCCTTGTTAAAAAAAGTTTTTATTTCTTAACCTAATGAACTAAAAAAAATGCTTAATAAAAAAATAAACTAATTTAATATAAAAGGGAAAATATTTTTAAGTTTTATGAAGAAGATTTTAACATTAAACTAAATAGTATGAAAATTAATTAAATTAGGAAAAGTATAAATTCTATGTTTATTTTAAGAAGATAAAATAAGCTTAAATCTATTTAATTAAAAAAAAGTTAAGTTTGTAACAAAAATATTTTGATGTTTTAGTCTAGAAAATAAAATAAATGTATATAGTATAAATAAAAATATATTTTTTAATCTTTTTTTTAGTCAATAAAATAAATATTAGTATTAATATTAATAAATAAAAAGAAAGAGAAAAGAAAATAAATAAAAAGTCAGGGGGGTTCATTAGTAAACAAAAGAGTACTCATGAGTAAAAATAAACTAAGCCCAATGGAGAGCCCAAATGCTACCAAAAAAGAACAAAAAAAGAGTCAGAAAATGTAAAAATAACAAAATGGTCACGCTGGGGCTTGAACCCAGGACCATGGGATGAACAGGCGCGCGCTTTACCATTGGGGTGGCTATACATCCGTTAACTTGTATGAAATAATAAATACATAACACAAAACACGGCCTGACTGTACTTCATCTTCAACATCTAGCCAAAGGATCTGTAACTTGCTCATTTCTCAACCATTTGCAAAAATGTAAACATAAAAGTTGCTCCATTTTGTCACACGAATCCAACCATATAAATATCATAAACTATAAATCAAAGATGAATGAGAATTTTTAAAAGTACCAAATTCTGACCTAAATATTTCAGAAAGTTCAAACTCAAAATTCTCCTAGCTCAATCAAAATAAATGAAATCTATGGACATGTACAACTTCAGGGAAATGATGTCTACATTTTATCTTCACAAATGCAAGCCTAACAATGCCTAAGTAATGAAATTGAAGTTCAAGAAAAATACCTCAAAACTGGAAATCGTGAAATGGATTTGAGCTTGTTTCAGGCAGTGTTGATGATCAGGTTAGCTTCCTTGGACCTCTAGGAAGCTAATGCAATGGCTGGCTTGAGCTGAGGGTGGCTGGAATGGTTTGGAGAAGTCCAACTGTGATGCTCTGTTTTTGGTTATGGAAGACAGGGAAAATAGTGTTACAGACGTGAAACAGGTACATGGATGAGTTACCCTTGATGCAAGGAAGCTTTAGAAACTAAAAGGCCAAGAAACGCACGAGGGAAATGTGAGTTTGAGGTTCAAGGTCCGAAACTGTGCAACAATGGAGTTTTTGGGCAATTTCTGATTTGTGAGAGTTTTGGTGTATTTCAGGGTGCTCCAGCCCGTCTTCTAGCTCATAAATAGTGCCTCTATTTATAAGCAACAAGTTTGGAGACTTGTTGTTGATCAGAATTCAAAATCACAATTTTATGCATAACATGTGATTTTTGAGAATTTCAAGTTTCCAAGCATTGTGTACTTGCTAAGATAGAGTGGTTATGCTTTAAACAAGTCTGCTTCTAACTTTGTGAATGGAGTGTGATCAGAGGGAACAAGTTAGAGGCTCAAGAATTGACTTTATAAAAAAGCTTGCTTTTCTAAAATGGAAGTGTTCTCTTTGTGCCATTAATGGAAATGTGGATTGGATAAAGCTTAAACCACTTGGATTAAAGCTCAAAAGTCTGTGTAATCCATTAATGATGGATAGATACACAAGTAAGGAGGCCTGAAAAGCAAGATTATGCAGCCTAGGTTTGAAATTGGATTCTTGTTTATCACAAAATGCCTTGTAATTCAAGTGACAAAACACCAACTTCATCTTTTCGATTCTCCCTACTCAAGAATGATCTCAAGGAGTTCTTGGACATTTTGGAAAGCTTACAATGTGCCCTACAACCCATATTTGAATTTCTTTTTAATATTCACCTTGGAATTATATGAAAAAGTTCCATGAAGTTAAGTCAAAATCCTGACCAAATTAGGGTAAAATTTCACTAAGTGTTTAGTTTTATGATCCTATGTTCTTGAAATTATAAATTGAGATCTAAGCACTTTTGGAAGAAGTTATGTGAAGCAAAGTTTTATATTTCATGGATATCTTCAACTTTCATGTTGGAACTTTCTCTTAAATCATCTTTCATCATGGTGAAAGTTTGGCTCAAAGTTATGAAAAAACATGAAATTTCCAGCACTTAGAAAAATTTCTAAGTTTAGAAATTTTGACTTTTCAAAATAAAATCTTGACTTTTTGATTTATTGATGAATAAGTTTCATATTTTGACATGTTTTGATGAATTATGATTTTTGGCACTTGAATTTGATAAAAAAGTCAAAGTTTGACTTTTCAGTATACAATTGACTTTTGATCAATTGACTGCAAAATTCATCTGTCAACCCAATGGATTTGCAATATTTTGAACCATGTCAATAGGTAAAAACGATGCAATTGGACTCTTGAGATCATGCCTTAAACCAATTGACCATTTGCTGGATAAAAAAATCAGAAACTGCCCTTTCCCAGTCAAAACCCTAATTTTGACCATTTTGCCCTTTTGGAGATTTGATCAAATTTCTTGAGGGATTGTGGTCCAAACTTGATCAAATGATACATATTAGTTTAAAATGTTTATGTGGATAAAAAATTATGAGATTTGACTGTAAATTGGTCATGGTTGACTTTTTTCCTAATACAACTGATTTTTAGGTCCAATGTTCAATTGACTGATCAAAAGTGTGATCCAAGGCTTGAAACTTGACATGAGTAATCTTGGGGGTCCATAATGGTCCATTAAAGTCATATGAGGCATAGAAAGTTCAAAAATCCTTGTACAAACTCAAACCCTAATTTTGGTCATCAGTGCTTGAGGAGGTGTCTTGAGCTGATCAAACCTTAGTGCAGTCTTGAGCCCAAGGAGATCTTGTGAGCAAATTCTTTATAAGTGAGAGGGAAAATTTTGGGGTACAACAGCTACCCCTATTCAATCTTCTTAAACCTGAAGAGTTAGATGGGCATGCCTTGCCATTCGTGACTCGAAGGTGGAAGATGATTGGACACTAGAGTGCCTATAAATCTGCACTCGACGATGTGATGGTAGAGGGAATGGGCTTAAAGATGCCATTTGGAGAGGTGATAGAATGTTGTAGGAGATGGGCTTAAAGATGCCATCTAAAAGTGATTGTTTGTGTTGTAATTTGTAA